TTTTCCATAGAGAGTCTTTAATTCGTTATTAAATTCTTGTGGGAAAGTTCTTCAGGGAAATATCCTCCTATGTTTCCCCAACCCCAAGGTGCTGCCACATCACTGTGGTTCATATGCTTGTTCAGGCCAGGACTATTCTTGTCTTTGTGTGAAAGAGGAAGGATATCCAGTGGTTAGAACACAGGGTGCTCTCACTTGAGAAACCTGGATTCAATTTCCTGCTCTGTAACAGATTTCTTGTGTTACCGTGGGCAAGTCCAGATCCACAAAGGTATTGATTTCAATGACTGTTAGAAGCCTAAATACCTTTGTGGATCTAGACCTTAGTCTCTCTGTGCCTCAATTCTGTTCAGGTACAATGGGGATAATAGTACTTCCTTACCTCATAAGAGTATGTGGTGTTAGGGTAAATACATTTTAAAAATTGAGAGCATTCAGCTAATTTGATAATGAGGGCCAGTAAGTACCTTAGATAAATTGCAGAAGACTTACTATTCTGCAGCACAAGCAGTAGCAATGGAACACTTTTAATAGTGGGGGTGCTGAAATCCAGCTCCCTTACCCCATCCAGGCCCCCCTTCTCCCCCCTGAGCTGGGGCTGGGAGCAGGGCTGTGTCTCCGGAAGGGGAAGACCCAGACAGGGGTAAGGGGGCCAAGGCTGTGGCCAGCAGCCGGGACCCCAGGCACGGGACCAGGAGGCCGCATGCAGGGCCAGGAGCGGAGCCCTGGGAACAGGGACAGCAGTGGGGACCCCACATAGGGGGCCAGAAGTGGAGCCTGTGTGTGGGGCCAGGGAGCCCCATGTAAAACCTTTTTAAAGTAAATTAAGTTTTATTTGTGCTCCCCTCTCTCTCTCTCTACAAATAAAACCTAACATAGTTTCCAAAATTACAGCTGTTCTGATTAACCTAATGGGGAAAATGTGCATGAACTCAAACTTTGCCTATGGGTTTGCAATAAGATTCAGACTTAGGGTGTCAGGAAGGAACAATATTTTCCCCAGGTCTCACACTTGTTACTGAGATTCTTGTGATATTTGGTGATTTTCTTAAAGCCCCTCCTGCTGGCTTCATGTTATTATATGAGAATCTCAGCTTTCTTTCTTCTGAAGGTTTCTGGCTCTTATGGTTGCAGAGTAAAGCTTGAAAACATGAAACCAGAAGGCAAATAAAAAGATCCAAAATGTATTTTTTTTAATCTCATGAATTCTAAGCCAATTTTGCTTTTTTGGAAGGCCTTACTCATGATTTTTGAAGCTTTGTGGTAGGCAATACTAAAGTTACTTAGTTAAACACTGGTCTTGTTTAAATTCAGGGCATGCAAAAGTTGATTTATCCTTTTTTTCCGATTAATCTGAATTACATAATAGGTCAAATTCTGTTCATAGTTATACTGGTGTAAAGTCCAGAGCAGCTGCGCTAAAGTTAATAGATTCCATGGCCAGAAGGGACCACTGTAATCATCTAGGCTGACCTCCAGAACAATACAGAGCATAGAAATATGGTTACCCTGGATTACACCATTGTAAATTAGAGCAGAATTTGACCCAAAGTCTATAACAAGTCTTTCTGGAATTTAAATATTTTTTTTCAGAATGATCACTTATTGTGATGCTACCCAGGGTTGTGAGGCACCTCATCACTGTCAGCCCTTAGCGTGAAGCAGTCTTGTCTGTGCCTGCTGTGACCAGCTCCCTGAAACCAACAGCTTCTGGAAGCACAATCTCTACCTTCCAGGCCCCTGCGGACCTTGCTCTCTTTGTACAGGAGAGACAGGCACACATCAACCCCCAAATACTTGGAGTGGTCCCTGCATTGGCCAGCCCCTTAACCACTGAAGACTCACAGAATTACCTGGCCTGCTATTCCTAATGGAACAGTACATACCACTTTGTGAGATTCAACTTGGGAATCTTCACTTAACACTACTGCACTTAATAAGCTTATTCTTGTTTTCACTATAAATTGCTATCAAAGAACAAAGATTAAAGTGGTAGGAATAAGATATGGGAAACAAACGGTTACATATAAACCAAAATCATAACATGTTTTCTAGAGACTAAACTAACCAATTCCTCTCTTGTCTAAAGAAGTTTATCTCACCCAGAGTTCTCTGTAGCATTTTCAACCAAGCCCGGCTGAGAGGCCTTTTTCATGAAGCAAAAGTGCTATCCTTTTATTCCCTCAGAGAAGGGTGCCTGGGTGTCTCCTTTGGCCTTCTTATCCCAGTATACTTAAGTAAACCTTTGATATGCACCTCAAGACAAAGTTCTCTTTCCCCTGCTGTTTTTCTCTTCCTGTTCCTTTCTGAAGTTCCTTCTTACAATTCTCCGTCTGCATTCAGTTCAGGCTGAATTGTGGGTCCCATTGGGAAGGAGACAATATTCAATTTACATGTAAATAGACTTCTCCCATCTGACAGAAAACCTGTTTTCACTTTTGTTGGTGCCTAATGCCTTGATGCAGACTTTAAGAACATGTTTTCAGGATATACATAACTTCTTGCATAGTATCTATACACACATGCCAGCTGGCATTAAGAAGTTCCTGGGTCACGTGTACATTGTTTGCTTGTTTACTTTAAATATTATTTTGTACTGGTATAGAAGTTTCAGTAGCAAAGAATTTAATTTAATCTTGGTTCCAGTGTTGTGGAGTGAATAACCATTCTGATCAATTACATTTCAGTAGCATTAAGTTAAACATTTTAGGGTGGTATTGTCTTTATATACATGAAATTAAAAACAAAAGCAAACAATTATTAAATAAAAATATTCTTTATTTGCTAAAGATATGTTGACATTTTATAAAATGGTATGATGAACCCATGTGGGATCACATAAAGGCCTTTTCTTTTTTAAGTTTGGCTTGCTCTGCATATACTGATGAAGTTTTTACTTTTTTTTTTTTTAATTAAAGACAGACTAGTATATTCTGTCTGGTATCAAGGGAATTTGGGATTAATTAGATTATAGCTTTTAGATATTTCTTCAAATCATATCATCAACCATCTAAGGAATGAAATAATTCTGAACCAAACTTTGCGATCTTGAGCTTGGCTTACATACTTACTGTAACAAATATGTAACAACAAACAATGGATTCATTATGGATTGGCACTCAGCTGGTGGATATGAACTCCTGTGAATGCAAGATGCTTGAGAATAAGCATTGCCTAACTGTTGGGAGTATTGCAATGTTCTGGCATGTGGGAGTAATGTTACTTGCTATTGGATGTGGAGCAGACCTGTTCAAGTGTTTGTGATTATATTGCCCTTAAGTGGCTGTCCCATAGAAGATACAGCAAGTCTTAATACTACTAATATCTAATCAGGGTCTTCCAGCTTTTGGGAAAGGCTCCAAAGTCCATTGAAGCCAATGGTAGTTTTTCTTTTCATTTCAGTGGGCTTTGGACCAGATCCTATTAGGGGTTTGTGGGTTTCCTGGAAGCAATGGTCCTAACTTCCAAGTTATATGGCTGATGCCACATGAGTACAGTTTAGCTGGTGACCATGGTGTCTATTATTTGTCTAAGCAGGGTCTGAATGAATGCTTCCCTGACAGCTAGCTGGGAGGGAGAGAGACTGTGGGTGTGGTTATGTAAATACAGTTTGCTCCTGTTTTGCTTAGATTTGCTTAGATATTCAGCAGATGGAGCAGTATTTTGCTCAACTTGGCTGGTGTTGGGTCACAAATCACATTAGTACTGAATGCAGGGGGAGTGAAATGCTGTTATCAATGTTGTGATTATTGTGGGAATGCAGGGAAGCAGGACTGTCTTTAACCTCTTCCCAATGGGGGCAGGTCACCCTTAGCAGAGAGGACCTTGGCGAGCCAGGGGATCGATTGCCAAAGCCCCGTGAAAGTAAGGGGGGAGGGTACGAGTCCTGGTCAGGAGGCTGTATGCTGCCCCCATCTCCCTCTCCAGATTGGCTTAACCTGTTCTTTTCCACTATTCAAAGAATATAGCTAAATAGGCTGCATTAGGAGTCTCTTTTGTTATTTTAATTGTTTAATCAGAGCTGAAACCAGTTGTGGTTGGACTGTGTTTCTGCCCTGTCTGCTGAAAGCTAAAATCACTGAGAGCTGAAATCACTTGAGATGGGGCAGTGTTTCTGCCCAGTCTGCAAAAGAGCTGAAAATCACTGAGAGACTGATGTGCAGAGGTCACAGTAGAGAGGCAGGTGACTGACAGTCAGCTGGCAAATGAGTGACCAGCAGGGTAGCAGCGAAGAGGTGTGACAAGAGCAGTGAGCAGGTGGCCAGTGTGTGGCCAGCAGAGCAAGTAAGATGCCTCTTTACCATGCACCTAGGGTGGGAGGTGAACTCTGCAGATGTACCTCTGAACTCTGGGTCTGCACTGACCAAGGACAGCCACTGTGAGTGGGGTGCAGAGAAGGGTCAGGAATGTGAGTGACTTTTGGGTTGCTGGACTTAAGAACCTGAGGGAGGGAAAGGCACGGCCCAACCTACTTGGGGGGTGGGTCTTTTACTCATGGTTTATGTTTGTGAACCCTGTTTGCAGTGTTTTCCCAAGTGAATTCTGGGTTACTTTCCTCCTTTTATTAAGTTTCTTTTCTACACTCTGACTCAGTGCTTGCGAGTGGGGAAGTATTGCCTCTCTGAGGAACCTAGGAGTGGTGTGTAATTTTCCCAAGTTACTGTGTGGGGGAGGCAGGGGCTTGAGCTGGTTCTGTGTTGTAGCGATGGAAAGGAACCCTTAAATATTAAATCTGGCCTTGGTTGCTGCTGGCTCCACCTGGCAGAAGGGTTACATTTGTACCACAGTTTTGTTACAATAGGGATAAATATTTACAACTGAGGATTTATACAGTTAAGAAACTGAAGTTCTCATCTCATCAATGCCCTAAACATGGTTCAGCTGGGCTGTATTCCAAATGAGAAAGTAAAATGTCTCTCTGACCTGTAAAATATTACTAGGAGAGTGCTCTGAAAAAAGTAGCCAGCCCCCATGACTGACATTTCGTATGAGTCATTAAGTCATGTTTATAACTTTTATTTCCAACAAAACAAAAGCCAATACTTGTTAATACACCCTGTTATTTGGCTTCAGATTTTATATTCTCCAAGAGGAGTGAAGTTTCACTTGACTGGCTTTGTGTGCTTAGACTATTTTGTGGATTCAGTAGGTGTTTTCTATGAAGTATCACATAAAAAGGCTTGGGGATGCATCCTCTAGACCAGTGGTCTCCAAACTTTTTTGATCGCGCACCCCATCAGTAAAAAAAAATTGAGCACGCATCCCCTGCCATGCCATGCACACACACAAAAAAGAAGCCGCTCGGACTCCCGCCTGACCTGCCAAAGCCAAAAAAAAAAAGCGCTCCTCCTGCCGTGCACCCCCAAGGATTCTCTTGCGCACCCCTCTTTGGAGACCACTGCTCGAGACCAAGAATTCCCATCTTATAGGCTGTGGACTAGTGGTGGCCTGGAGAGCACTTGCAGGTGGTACACAGAGAGCTGGCTCCAGTGCTTTCTTTGTAATGAAAGAAGTGCTGGGACTCAAGCAATTTTTCTTTACTTTCATAACTGATGCTGCAAGCCTAGAGGTGCTGGGGCTATGAACTCCCAAGCTTAGAGGTGCTGGGCTCAGCACCGGCAAGACCCGGCACAAATTAAGAACTGGTTGGCTGATCACAGGATGTTGTTTCTCCTCTTTGTTTCCAGCTTCTAAATTCCTGGAAAAGAAACTAGGAAAATACTTAATGTATTATTAATATTACTTCTCCATGTATGCAATTGCTGTAGCTGACACAAAACTGACAGGAGATCATGAACAGGGAGGGAAGTGGTCCACCCAGCCATCCCTCTATTAAGAGGGGATCCAGTCTATGAACACATTTAAAAAAAACACTGCTCTAAACTATTTGCTGTCATCCAAGTCAACCTTCATTGGCGAATCTCCGATGGATACTATTGTGAGAATTAAAATATAGTTATTTTTTAACAAGCTGGTTTTAATCAGCTGGACTAATTACCTGTGATAAAGTCAATTCATTGCCCCAGCTTTGCTCCCACTTCATTTGCGTTCATGAAATGCTATGCAGAGTTATAGTTTGCTGGCAACTATAAAGAGATGTATATAAGTTAATAAAGACATGTGCCTAATACCTACACTTATAGTAATTTCCTTAAAATGATAGTATCTATTTAAGCTCTTGCAGCTGCCTCTCCCACACAGCCTATCTCATGTTTAGTTCTAGAAATTGCTTGAACTGTGTTCATAGGGGACTGGTTGGAATTACACCATTTCTAAAACAGTCTCTCTCTTTTGGTGATCTTTTTCCGCTCTACTTTGGACGTCCCCTTTTTCTCCCTCCTCTGTCTTGCTTTTCACATCTTCATCATTCTGTTGCTTATCTCTTTTTTCTCTCTCTTGTTTTGATGGGTTCTTGTTTTGTTTTTGTTCCTGAAAGAGAAGTGAAAAATCATTACAAAAATATCTAATATAAAGAATGTTTCAATATCTTGAGTTTTGCAGTTATTCTAAAAGTGGTCCCTCAGCCATGCACTGCTCACAGGAAAGTGTGTGTGATAGAGCATTGGGTGGGGTGAGGGCTGAAATACTTCTCTGGAGAAAGGGAAGGGAACTCATCCTTTTGCCCCTTAGAATTTTTTTGGCTGTCGGGAATGGAGCAAGTTCCAATAAGGTATGCCAGTGGCTAAGTTGATTGAGAGAGCTTCGCAATGAAGGAATTTGCTGGAATCAGTAAAGATGACCCTGATATAGAAGGGGAGGAAAATTCTGTCTCCTGTTGGTGACATTGGTATGCTCCGCCAGAAAGAGTTGAGCAGTCAGAGAAGGGGGAGGAGAGAGGAGGAGCTGACCAAAACAAGTGTAACTTTTCATTTATTAAAGAAGGAGCTATACTCTGAAAAATATAGGTATTTCAAATTGGATACCCAAAATTAGTGGATACTTTTTACCTTAATCTCTATACCTTCATTCCTCATCTGTAAATTGGGGATAATAATACTCAGTCACTTAATGAGAATGTTACTAAGATAAATTAACATTTGTGAAACACTCCATGTCACTACTGTAGTGATGAGTGCAATAGAAAATCCCAAGTGAAAATTAATAACACTGGCTTTAAATCAGGGTTTGAATAGTGTGCAGTAAATAAGGCCTGGGGCCACACATTGAACAATGAAGATAAAATTCAATACTGAATTGTTGCTCATTTAGTAATCACCATCCATTCTGTGCACTGAATGAGGGAGTGGTCCTGTGGAAAAAATGTGTGATTATATAATTAAGACTACCGTAATGCACATGAACAAAAGGGATGAATTAAGGTTGTAGAGGCAACCTTAATTCTGGCTTTCCTAACTTTTGAATGCTTGACTACCTTAACAACCTTATTAATGTGCTTTTAACATAGTGTTTTGTGTGTACAGATGCTCCCCAACTTACGCAAGCGTTGTGCTGCATTCCAGAACGCCTTACGTAAGTCAAATTTTGCGTAAGTTGGGAACGTGTACCCAACAATTATGCTCACTCCCGCCCCCCCCCCCCCAAAAAAAAGCGTATGGAACTTTTTCCGTAAGTGCAGATTTGTGTAACCTGGGGAGTGTCCGTAATATATATTTACCATAGTTCAGGTTGCTTAACTCTTTCCATTGCAAGCCCTTCTTTTAATTGATTGTTACTTTGACAGACTTAAAAAGGTTTTGGGATGAAACTTTTCATGTTTGCTTTTTGCCTCAGGCTAAATATTTCTTGAAAGTTTCAGCAAAAATGGTACAGCTGTTTACAAGAATAGGTCTTGGGGGAAAAAAATCTTTTTCTCCATCAACCAATTTTCCAATTTTTTCCTTTTAACCAATTTTTCCTCCTCTTTCTTTCAAGAGTTCTAATATTCCATAGGTGTGCAGCTGAGACTTGAAACTTGGCAGAAGGATGGTCCTGGGGCCAGAGATGTGCGTTTTGCTGTTCCAGGAAAATCCATCCAGATTTGGTTGATTTATTAATCTCTACAAATCTCCTTTTATACATGCTCCATAGTTATAAACCAAGCCTCAATGATGTTGAATGCAGAGACATAACTCTGTAGTACTTCTTGCTGCTGATTTACAGCTGTGCATTTTATCAAAGAAAATAAAATGCTGGTTACTTTGAACAGCAGATATTTTGGTGGAAGTCAACCATGATATATTTCTGTAACCTCAAAATCTTTCACTATTTAGTCCTTTTAAAAATTGTGTTGTAGCATTTGGGTATCTCTGTAGTGGGACTATTAAATTGCTGCCTTTTTCTACCTCAGAGGGTGTTGCATTTCAGTGGTGGACAAAGTGATTCCTAAATGCTGTAATTTCTATAGTCACTTAATGAAGTTTGAAGAGTCCTTTGGGGTCCATTTTGATGAATGATGCTGTATAAATGTAAGATCACTTATTCTGTAGCTGCCTGCCAGTTATAATGATGTGCTCTCTAGAACAAATATGCGGCAAAACACAAAATGGACAGGTCAAATCTGTAATAGTTAAGAAAAAACCCCAGAAATCCAGGTTACCTTTCGATTCTGCAATTTATACCACCCACGAGGATATCTTGCAATGCTGTCCATGTATTTTTCCGCCCTTTGCCAGTCTTCATGCCACCTCTGAACTTGATACTGAGGCTCACACTTTGTAATCCTATCCAGAATGGCCTGGTTCTCTTGATTCACTCTCAGTAGTTCCTTCTCTCGCTTTTCCCTGTTTAAACTAGAGGGGGAACACATACAAAGGAAAATCAAGCTTCTGCCCAGTTACAAATGTGCTTGAAGAATTTGTGGATCAAAGCTGGAACCTGAGAGAGAAATTCTCTGAAGCTGTTATACTTCTCCTAAGAGGAGTTTCTTCTCCTTATTAACAAACCCTCACAACTCAGCCCTTTGTCCTTCTGAAGGAGATACATTTTGTTTGAAGAAGTTTTACACTCTGCCTCTCAGATGAGACCTTCAAAATTGAGATTCTGTCTGCTCTCTGTATATACTAAAGATTCCTTGGCACTTTTTATAAGATCCCAGCCCTAAACTTATATCTTGTCCTAAAACCAATCCTCCAGCCCCAAACTATTTTTGTTACTATGTTGAGGGAGATAATAAACAATCATTGTAGGCATCTGGCATCAGTCCTCTGTTTCCAATTATTGAAGGAAAATGTCTCACCCAAATTTCAGATATAAACCAGATCAAGTGGTTGTGGGAGAAGGTGCAGAGAAGTGTCTGGTCAAAAGTTCTTCACAAATATTTCATGACTGGTTAGTGCCAGAGTTAAATGATATTTGGTTCTGTTCAATATCTTCATCAATGATTTAGATAATGGCATAGAGAGTACACTTATAAAGTTTGTGGATGATACCAAGCTGGGAGGGGTTGCAAGTGCTTTGGAGGATAGGATTAAAATTCAAAATGATCTGGACAAACTGGAGAAATGGTCTGAAGTAAATAGGATGAAATTCAATAAGGACAAATGCAAAGTACTCCATTTAGGAAGGAACAATCAGTTGCACACAAAAAATAGGAAATGACTGCCTAGGAAGGAGTACTACGGAAAGGAATCTGGGGGTCATAGTGGACCATGAGCTAAATATGAGTCAACAGTGTAACGCTGTCGCAAAAAAAGCGAACATCATTTCAGGGATGTATTAGCAGGAGTGTTGTAAGCAAGACATGAGAAGTAATTCTTCCACTCTACTCCACTCTGATTAGGCCTCATCTGGAGTATTGTATCCAGTTCTGGGCTCCACATTTCAGGAAGGATGTGGACAAATTGGAGAGAGTCCAGAGAAGAGCAACAAAAATTATTAAAGGTCTAGAAAACATGACCTGTTAGGGAAGTGTGACAGACCCAGACCAGTGGGGTACAGGAGTCTGGTAGAGGGCAAATATACTGGTCACTGGATGAGTAGTTTTCTGTTCCCTGAGTGACCAGAGAAGGGGCTGCACGAGAGTAATCAGGAATCTGCTAGAACCAGTTAAGGCAGGTAGGTTAATTAGGACACCTGGAGCCAATTAAGAAGAACTGCTAGAATCAATTAAGGCAGGCTAATCAGGGCACCTGGGTTTTAAAAGGAGCTCACTTCAGTTTGTAGTGTAAGAGTGTAAGGAGTTGGGAGTAAAAGGCACAAGGAGCTGAGAGTGAGAGGGTGTGCTGCTGGAGGACTGAGGAGCACAGGCGTTATCAGACATCAGGAGGAAGGTCCTGTGGTGAGAATAAGGAAGGTGTTTGGAGGAGGCCCTGGGGAAGTAGCCCAGGGAGTTGTAGCTGTCATGCAGCTGTTACAGGAGGCACTATAGACAGCTGCAGTCCACAGGGCCCTGGGCTGGAACCTGGAGTAGAGGGCGGGCCCGGGTTCCCCCCAAACCTCCCAATTGACCTGGACTGTGGGTTCTTCCAGAGGGGAAGGTCTCTGGGCTGTTCCCCAACCCACATGGTGAATCTCTGAGGCAAGAAAATCCACCAATAAGCGCAGGACCCACCAAGATAGAGGAGGAACTTTGTCGCACAAGATTCAAAAAAATTGGGTTTGTTTAGTCTGGAAAAGAGAAGACTGAGAGAACATAATAGTTTTCTAGTATGTAAAAGATTGTTACAAGGAGGAGGAAGAAAAATTGTTTTTCTTAACCTCTGAGGATAGGACAAGAAGCAATGGGCTTAAATTGCAGCAAGGGAGATTTAGGTTGGATATTAGGAAAAACTTCCTAACTGTCAGGGTGATTAAGCACTGGAATAAATTGCCTAGAGAGGTTGTGGAATATCCATCATTGGAGATCTTTAAGAGCAGGTTAGACAAACTCCTGTCAGCAATGGTCTAGGATCGGGATCGGCAACCTTTGGCACGTGGCCCGCCACGGTAAGCATTCTGGCTGGCCGGGATGGTTTGTTTACCTGCTGCGTCTGCAGGTTTGGCTGATCGCGGCTCCCACTGGCCGCGGTTTGCCACTCCAGTGGGGGCGGCGGGAAGCGGCGGCCAGCACATCCGTCAGCTCACGCCTCTTCCCTCCACCCCCATTGGCCTGGACCGGCGAACCGCGGCCAGCGGGAGCTGCGATTGGCCGAACCTGCGGACGCGGCCGGTAAACAAACCGGCCCGGCTCGCCAGGGTGCTTACCCTGGTGGGCTGCGTGCCAATGGTTGCTGATCTCTGGTCTAGATAATTAGTCTTGACACAAGTGCAGGGGACTGGACTAGATGACCTCCTGAAGTCCCCTCCATGTCAAGGGAGCTACAATGATATGTATGCTACACAGCAACAATATAGGTTAATCTTCAGTAAATGCTAGTGTGTGTGTGTAATATAATGCTCATGAGGATATGTACATCCATTAGCTCAGGTTCAACGGAATTTCAAATTATTCCTCATATTTTTAATTTCTCATGGGACCATGCTGAAGTCTGGAAACTCCCTGTTATATAGCAGTTGCTGTTCTGGACTCCACCTGAATTACCTGAACTACTGAACTGCACCCTTCTGTCTAGAGACACGTTGGAGCCTGATGAGCTATCATTCCCTCATCAACCAGTCTGTCTGTAAATGAATCATGAGGGTTAACAAATGACACTTGACTTGCACAAAACATTCCCATGGCAGATTCCAGTGTCCTCGCTTCACTTCTGAATTCTCTTCTTACTAGTGATCATGCATTGTTCTGCTATACTCTGTTGAGTATGCATTTCTCTTGGAATTAAAATGGTACAAACAGTTTCTCTCCTGTGAGAATTATCTGAGAGTGCTTACTCATTCTCCCTTGAGCAATGACTAAAGTCCTGATTTACTTACTCAATATGGTTACTGTACACTGTTCACTTTGTTGTTCTTATTTCATTTACATGCTTTGGACCTACGTCTTTCCAGTGATGTCTATGGGAATAACTGGCAAAGCAAGTGGCAGTACCTCAGTCAGCAAAAACAGATTAGTTGGGACATGACAATACGTTTGTTTCGTTTATTTCCTCTAAACTAGGTCAACAATCACTGTCTCTATCCCTCAGTTATTATACTGAAGAAATTAATCCAAAAACTGGTACCTGTTTTTCTACAGAGACTAGAAGGATGAACCTGGAGCTGGAATCCCCATAACAGGGCAGGAGAATGAATATCTAAAATATTAGCACTTCTGAGGCCTCCTTTAAATACATGTCCTTGCTGAGCAGATTATCCATTGCTATGTTTATCACTGTCACAGTAACGTGATAACCCTATACAAGTTCTACTGCTGATGTTACCTTTTGGCCTGATAGTAATTTTTGTTATCAATTCGCCCTTTCGTCCTCATGATGGAGGACATCTTCTCCAGCAGCAAATGATTGTCTCTTTCGATGACTGAAAGCCGTTCCTTCTCAAGCTTCATGCACAAAAGAGGCAGAGAAATATTTGTTATAGTCCAATCAAAACAGCAGCAGAATGCTGTGGATATTTTAACAAGAGGCTCTAACTCTGGTTCCACACACAGACTGAGACAAAAACTGGCAGTGTAAAAATTCACCTCCAGTGCAGAGGTCCTGCAGAAGAACCTCTTCACCACATAAGAGGCACATAAGTTAAGGTTTAAGTAGTATACAGTGCTTTTTTGGGGCCCTCAGCAGTAAGCACCACTTTCCCCTGATTTCAGTGGGCTTTGGATCAGGTCCAGGAACAGGCCATCCCTGTCCTTGGCCGGGTTACAATCTTATTTAAGATGGGAAGCAACAAGTGGGTTTAATAGGCAAATGGAAGGAGCTGCAGCAGGAGGATGAGGGTAACAGTGATAAAACATGTCGTTGCAGAGACTAGTTTTGTGCACACTTCGCTAGTTTTAAGTCATTTTTTTAAAATTAGTTTTAAGATCTAAACATGGAGTATATTAACAATATCCGTAAACCCAGTACAACATAGAGATTCATTTGTGTAATGTGAAAAGATACCATGGTGATGGGAGCAATGTAGGAACCTAAAAAGGAGAACAAGGTGGGATGGGAAGACCTTATACCTAGCCCAGAGCTAGCCAGACCTGTGAGAAATGTTTGTGAACAGATGCCCTTTGGTGAAATCTAATCCATTCCAAAAGCCCCTCCCCTCCCTAAGAAGTGCTCTTCAGAAGTTTGTTTCTGTGCCCCAAGGATGCCATGTCTAGCAGGGGTGGTTTGAAAGGAACCAGAGAAGCAGGGACTCTGTAAGAGGCAGAGCAATCATTCTACCATTACCTTAAGAACTAAACTTAAACAACTTGCTCCCAAGTGCCTCTCCTCCCCCAGGGTCATTGAAAAATGGTGCCTAATGCTTCACCTTCCCCCCCCCCCCCACCTCTTTTGCTATTTGTTTCTCTGAAGGCTTGCATGGCCTAAATAAGATAAATACGAAATATTACCACATGCTGCTTTGATAACCTTCAATAGCTAATGTTACTGTAGTGAACTACGGGGGGGGGGCTCTTAGTGCATCTTTTTTTGTTTGCTTGGCTTTATAAGCAAAACAGGTCAGATGTAGCTCAAATTGTATTATGGATATACCTAAAATGGTGCTGTTAAGTAATCCCATCAGGCTCTAAAAACCCAGAGGGATATTGACTACAAAGGAGAAGAGAACCTGGTTACAGGAAGATAAACTTACTTGCAACATTAGAGACAGTCTCTCTGTATTTACATAGCACCTCTAAAAGCATCATGTTACATGGATGGGGAACTTAGTCCCACCCAAAAGTGTCAGGGTGCCAGTAGCATAAAGGGACATACCCAAGATTGGCAGCTTCAGATTCGACTTTTTTTTTTTTTAATATGCATCGGCAAACTCCATATATTTTTTTCCAAAGGAAATTCTTCAGTGCTCTTTTACAGTAAAGAAAGGGGGAGGAGGAAGTGGCAACAACCAGCACAGATGCCAAATCCTACAATAGTGTATAAATGTGTATTCATAAGGGAGAAATTAATTGTTTTGATAGCAAAATAGTTTCAAGCTCTCTGGGGGTTGCTATAAAGTAGGATGAGATTATAAACATTTTAAAGAGGCCAAATCCTGAAGTCCTTCTCAGGCAACACTCTCTTTGTCTGAGGGAGACTGTATATAGCTGTCTTTTTTTTTTTAAAGTGGACAGAGACAATTATTCTAGGAGAATAGAGTTCATTTTTCCATTGTCATTTTCTTTCTTTATAAAGAAACACTTGCCTTTTTAATCATAGAGGGATAAAGATTTTGAATGAAAATTACTAATCAAAACTATCCCTTGTTACATTTCTTACATTTTGAGTATGCCAACATGTCATAAGATTCATAAGATTGCCCTGTGATAATGTTCAGGTTATTATTGTTTCAGTTACTGTAGGCTTTTTTGTTGTTTGTTTTCTTTCTTTTTTTTCTTTTTGGTGTGCAGGAATAGTTTTTAGGCAGGATCCTTGTGTTCTGGACCTGGCAATTAGAGAGAATTTGATGCATCTAGTCAGAGTTTATTTGATATGGGACTGGGAGGGCAATATCCACTGGCCCAGTTAGGCAGAGCATAGTATAGGAGTGAAGCTAAAAGTTAGACCATTTAATCTTCTTATACCCCTGTTGATCTGCCTGTCTTACTTACTTGGGGGTGGGGTGGGGAGAACACTATGGTGGGCATTGGCATATGCATTCCTGTTCAATGCTAATCTACTTAATTAAGTGATATAACCAAAAAGATACCTTTAACTTCTTTAACTTCAAGTGAAGATGGCCATATGTTAGAGGAGTAGTGGTGTCCACTACAGGTTTGGCAGTCTGGATCTGCAGCAGAAAAAAATAATCATTATCCATTTTTGTTGAAAATCAAATCCTTACAAACTGTTATGGGAAATGTTTAAATTGTTTGCCCACCATATTGTTAGCACTAATGTCATATTTGACACACTCATAATGTCAGCAATGCCAAGCCTGCCTAGCAGGGATGCAAGTAGGGTGGTACCCTCCAGTATGCAGTACCTGCAAGAGATTTTTAGCAGATATGGGGTACTGGAAAGACATGGGGCTAGCCCCCTTCGGGGATGGGGGGGGCTGCCCTCTGCTCCCCTCTGCTTCCTGCTCCTTAAAGGAGCAGAATGCGGATTCATTCTTTTATATGGCTTTAACAGCACAATACATATGCTAACAAACTTAAACAAAGGCTTTGTTTAAGTTTGTTAGCATATGTATTGTGCTGTTACATTGGTCAGGAGTCCTCAAGAGGGGAGGGGTGGGGGGGATGAAAGGTGTTTAAACAGTGTTTTTGATTCTGTTTCTTCCCATTGGTCTGAATTATCCATGACATCCATACTGCATCACATCAAGTCCAAATCATTAGAGGAATGCCTCTTCCTGCACTGACCAGAGGATGTTTGGATTCTGATGTCAGCCCACTTCTGCAGCCTGATGGGAATCAGGTGGTGTTCCAGTGTACACAGGATTCTTTTTTGCAGCCAAACTAGCTAAACTAACATGCATTTTGTTAACTGAAACTGGAGCAGCAAAACAAAGAAAACAAATGCCTCATTTTCCAGCTTTGTGGGTGAGAGAACTATAAGTGAAGATTATAATGCTGGACACTGACAACCTTAAACCAGCTGCCTCAGGAATCTGCCAAGAACTTTGCTGAAAATTTGTTCCTCATCTTAGCAATGGAGCTAAGACTTATCACACGTTTGCCCACCTTTATTTGAATGAAGCTCCTTCTGATCTGACAGCTCAGGCATTGTCTGTTTCATCCAGAACAATTTACAAACTTGGAACCTAATCCTGTAAACCCTTAGTCATTTGATCAATCCCATTGAAGACAATGGGACTATTTGCATGACTATGGATCACTTTTTTGGGCTGGTAAAAGTTTCAGGAGTCTCCTCCTATAAAGGAAGTTGAATCCTGCATTGAAATGCAATGTTTGGGTACAATACCATAGAGCAGTTTAGGATACAGTTCTACTTAAAATTTGTCTTTTAATAAGTCATACATATATTGAAATGGCTCCTCACCCAACTCCCATATTCCATATAAACAAACTGAATACTACATATATTTTTTTTTTTGGGGGGGAGTGAGTAGTTAAGCATGTTGATGTTTGTATATACAAAGGGGGGTATCAGAGGGGACAGGGAGAGCGTGGGAGCCCTGGGCTGGGAGCGGGGTGGGGAGGAGTCAGATGGGGGAGGTCACATACCCCTCTCCCTCCCATGAGTGCAGTATCCGCAAGAAATGATTTCTACTTGCACCACTGCTGCCCAGGGAGGTAGTGGGAAATGAAGATGATAGGGACAATTGTTTTCCATCTCCAATAAAACTCAAACCATTCCTCCCTGAGAAAAGAAAGAATACATACAGGTGCCAGGACTGCTTATGCCTGCTTTACCCAGGAGTGCTGAAGTCTAGTCTGGCTCCAGGCACAGGTTCCCTAACATATGTCCCTGGAGCAATAGATACTTTGGGCTGTTGCAGGGATGCAGAATCACTGGAATGTAAGAATGACCTAGCTACTCCCTCCCCTGCCCCCAGTATATCTGGAAATGTCCCTGACTCAGGGCCTCCTGAGGAGGTGTGGATCTGGGTGTGGGGAACCATGCAACTCCTGCGGGGGGAGGGGAAGGGGAGTTCTTGTGTTCAGGGTATTTTTCATGACCTCACTGTTATAGCAATGCCTTCATATGTATCCTCCGATGCAAAACTACTGATATAATCACCGAATAGAGTTTGTATTGCACCAGATTCAGTGGCACAGTTAAAATCTTCCCCCAACACATCACATGAATATTCAGGTCAGGTCTGACAGGAAGATCACTGCAAATTGTAGGTCATATGAATAGCCGTGGGTCAAGGAGTCCCTGGAAGTAAAAACTGGGGAGGAGGGAAAGAGAGAGAGAGTGTGGAAGACACCACTCTGTGAGAATAGATTAATGAAATGCATGATTTTGTTAATAGTATGGGATAAACACTGCTCAGCTCATTAATACATTGTATATAATACAACAATAGAGTGTGTGTGTATATAATATGAATAATTATTTGAACTATGCCCTCTCTGATGGACTCTGCCTTTCAAGAGTTGCTTACCCATGTGATGTGTAAATAAGTGCAGAACATTTACACACTAAGCAAAAGGGGTTGTCAAGTAAGTGCAATTTATATGGTAACAGCATAGAAAACTACATTCCATAAAGCGTTGCCTGGAGTCCACATGTAGCCTTCCAAAGCTCCTAACGTAGCCTGGCACAGCACAAAGCTTTATGAGTCAGGGACCAAGCCTGAATCCCTGATGACTTCAGAATTGATGAAAACTTCTATAAACTATCAGGTCAATCTCAAGACTATATAACAAGGCAATAGTCATTCATTAGATTGATTGCAGTGATGTTTGGAGCTGCAATACTTGAGCTGAAATTACACTATTTATTTATTCAAGTTGCCTAAGTGCTGGTAATATGTTTGGCTTTCTTTTGTTGCAGTTTCTAATAGGAGACCTGATTCTGCAAGGTGCTGAGTGCCCTCAACTGTCATTGATTTCCATGGGAGAGGAGGGTACTTAGCATAACAGGATTGGATCTCAGTTAACAGGCAGTTTATTATTGGCTAGCAGGGCAAATTTTTTGTCAAAACAATTTTCCATCAAAAATGCCATTTCAACTAAACCATTTTTTGTGTGTGAAATAATATAATTTTAATATCATCCTGTTTTTATGGATTTTGGAATAGAAAGTTTTTTGATTTTTTTCATTTTGAAATGACTTTGTTTCAACATTTTATTTTACATAAAAAAAATTAAATTGAAAAATGGTCAAAATGGAAATAAACTGAAAATATTTCATCAAAATAAAATGTTATGATTGATCCAAAATGACTATTTTTAAAATTTAATTTTGCAACAAATTTAGAAACTTTGGCTTTCCATCATGATTTGGGTACTTTTTTTTTTATTTTTAAATACTAAATGTTCACGGACAGAAAAAAAATCTGATGAGCTCTAGTTTTAAGGTTTGAATTCCTTGAGATGAATATGAAGTGTCCTACTTTCTAAGGGGTAGCTGTATGTCCACAATGGATGTAGACTGTCAGCCCTCCAGCATCAGACCACTCTTAAATAGCCCTAGTCATATTCAATGGCATGGAATGCTGGAGGTTAATTTAAACTAAAAGGAACTTTTTAAAACTTCTGATCTTGCCATTTTGGTTAGAGACAAAATGCTGGATTTGATATTATATTTCATCTTTAAATTCGCCCCACCCATCAGTCAAACCAGTGGAACAGAACATGGAAAGAAGAGTGTATTTTATATGGTAACAGCATATAAAACTGACAATATCTGTAAATAATGAAGAAATATTTCCTTACAGTAAGGTCAATGACACTGTGATATCTTCTTAAGGAAGCAATGCAATTGAATCCTTGTCACAGGAGTTTTTCAGACTTAGACTATACAAAGCACTGAGGAAAGGCCTGAGGGAATAATCCTACATTGCCACTGAGATGGACTGGATGATTGACCAGATCTTTTCCATCTTTAAATTAGCAACCCGCATACAATGCACGCTATTATTAAAAAACTTCTCTTTATATGGTAGGTCAACCCTGATCTCTAAGGAATACTTTCACACTAATGTTATAGAATACATACGCATTTTCATTAACAAATTTGACTTGCCTATTTACTCACTGAAATAAATTTACTCACTGTACTACAGGGTTGTACCTACCCTTTTCTTGTGCTCTTCATAGTTTGCTTTGTCCCATTTTTGCTGAAGATATTTGTTGCCACATGGTAAAATTGACTGGTAGGCTCTATGCATCTTAAACAACATAAAGCATCTCTATAACTGACGTTCTTCTAAAGAATGAGTGATATCACTCTGAGCCTTCTTAAACATAGCCCTGGAGACTGGGTATGTTTGCAGCAGGTCATGTGGTGGTTGTCATGGTATCACTGCTAAGAAAAAATTGAATAGCCAGTGGTAGCATTTTAAACAATATGTTTAGAGCATAATAAACAAGAGCTGAACATCTAAGCAAAGGATTCCAAAGGGTATCATCTCAATATATTAAATAGCTTAGCAATTATACTTCACTGGTCATGCTTAGCTCTGCAGTGATTAAGGAAAGACAGTGTCTCAATATGATATTATTAATACTTTTATGTAGCACCACAGATGTAGAAGAGTCTATATAACAGATAACATTTGTCAAGCTTACAGTTTAAAGGCATGTGTCACCACAATACAAAGCAAACACATAGTGTGGGGTGTAGGCTTTTTAGAGCTGCATTAGCGTGTTAAAATATACTTCAATACTAACATGCTTGCTTTGATTTGATAATAGCCCAATAACCTCGGTTTGTCGTAATATCATCTGATCACTGGTGAACTGGAGGAAGCTCGCAGGAGTTTGCACAAGCCAGTTGTTAATAGATCTGTGTCTTGTTTAACTTGACCATTTACCATTTAACATGGCTTTTATATTTTGATTAATTTTGTTTTAGATCAGAAGGGAGGGGTGGGAGGTTTCTCCTTTAGAAAAAGCTATATGAAATGATGCCTCAACAAACAGAAACAGTAGTAAAAATAGAACCTTTGCACATACTAATTTTGATCTGTGAAGCAGACATTTTCCATTCTCTCACGAACAGTTAAGGGAATTGAGAAGTATGAGTTTGGCCACTGGAGAGTGCCAATCATTTTTGATTAATATAACAAATATCTGGAGAATATCTGTCTGTAAAATTAATAAAGAATACAAAAGCTGTAAAGTTCAAATAAAGCCTTTCACTTAGTTCAAGATAAGGTCTACATATATGCACTAATTCATGAAAATCAGACATTACAATATTGTTGTTGTTTTTTCTTGAACAATCAGCATTGCTTAAATATTTTTAGTGAGGCCCTGATTTGCTCTGTGGAATTGTGGCCTTAATGTGTTTTGCATAATCATTTTAAGTGCTGGGAATGTAATAATCTATTAGGGCCTGATCCAAAGTCCATTAAAATCAATGGGAGGCTTTCCACTGAGTTCAGTGAACTTTAGATCAGGCCCTGGGGAAATGAGGAAAAATGGATTGTGGAAACATGGCAGATCCAGAATTGGCCCATATTCTCTGCTCCACCTGAGTTTATGTTTTGGGAAGTAAGGGAGGAGGAGGAGAAGTGACCGTAAGTCATCTCTGTGGCCGTTTCCTACATTGCTGTGGCCATCCAGGATGCTGATCCAATCTTGTGTAAAAAAGTAGAGAAGGTTCAAGGCTTCTCACCTTTAATGACCAGCTACCTGTGGTCCCAAGGCGCTGTTCCAGCAGCTGCAGATTGCTGAAGCATAGACATTCCCTAGCCACACACCCTTTCCAAGACACACCTTCTGCGCTGAGGGCTAGGAGGAGCGTAATTTAGGCAACACTACTGGTGGCCATATACTCCCAGCTGGGAGTATCTTCCACTTGTTAACGCATGACATTTTTATTAAGTAACTAGAATGATATAAAATTAACACGGCACACATTAAATGGATGAAAAACTGAGTGATAGGTCTCAAAAAGTAATTGTAAATGCAGAATCATCATGAAGCAGTGTGTTTCCAGTAGGGTCCCTAAGGGACAGGTTTTGGGCCCTATGCTATTTAACACTTATCAGTGACTTGGAGGAAAAAATAAAATCATCACAATTAAAGTTTACAGATAACCCAAAAATTGGGGAAGCATTCAGTAATAAAGAGGACAGGGCACTGATACGGAGCAGTCTGGATTGTTTGGTAAACTGGGTAAAAGCATTTTAATACAGCTAAATGTAAATATATAAACCTAGGAAGAAAGAATGTAGGCCTTTCTTACAGGATGGGAGATTCTATCCTTGGAAGAGCGACTCTGAAAAAGATGGGGGGGAAGGGGATGGATAATCACCTGAACATGAGTACCTAGTGTGACACTCTGACCAAAAGAGCAAATGCAATCCTGGAATGCATAAACAGGGGAATCTCAAGTAGGAATAGAGAGGTTATTTTACCTCTATATTGGACACTTCTGAATCACTTTTGGAATATTGTGTCCCACTCTGGTGCCCACAATTCAAAAGGATGTTGATGTTGATAACCTTGTTTTTGAGAAGAGCCATAAGAATGATTAAAGGATTAGAAAACATGCCTTATAGTGATAGACTCAAAGAGCTCAAACTATTTAGCTTAACAAAGAGAAGGTTAAGGGCTGACTTGATTATAGTCTGTAAATATCTATACGGGGAACAAATATTTAATAATGGGCTGTTCAATCTAGCAGGGAAAAGTACAACATGATCCAATAACTGGAAGTTGAAGCAAGACAAATTCAGACTGGAAATAAGGTGTAAATTTTTAACAGTAAGGGTAATTAACCATTGGCACAATTTACCAAGGTTCATGGTGGATTCTCCATCAGTTAACGTTTTTAAATCAAGATTGGATTTCTTTCTAAAATATATGTCTAGGAATTATTTTGGGGCAGTTCTATGGCCTGTTATCTAGTCCAATGTTTCTCAAATGAGGCCACCGGGGCTGCATGCAGCCACCAGGGGTTTTTCTTGCGGCCACAGCCTCCTGGGCGGTGATGGGAGGGTGGGGGGCAAAATAGCGGCCCCTCCCCTCTCTGTTGCTCCAGGATGCACCACCTTGGTTTTGATTGCTGGGGCCACCAGCAGGGGTTGGGCCCTGCCCGCCTCTGAAGGCTGCTGGGGCACAACGCTGGAGGAGCAGGTGGCCGGTGAGATCCTCAGGGGTGGCAGGGCTCAGGTTTTGGGCTTCAGCCCTGGGGTAGTGGGATGGCAGGCTCTGGCCGTGGGGCTTCAGGCTCCAGCCCCCTCACTGCCTCCTCTGCCCCTCACCAATCCCCTTCCGAATTGCCCCTGGCCCCCACTGCCTCCCCCATCCAGGGCTTAATTTCTCCCCAGGCTTGCCAGGGCTAAGTAAAGTGATACTTGTATATTTGTTAATATCACTTTTCACAACAGACTTACTATCTGTCAATACATAAATTATACTGATTTGAACATGTATATGTGCATATTTATTTGTTTTTCCTAAAGTTAATTTTTCGTCAAACACTTAATTATCAGAGCGGTCACCAGCAAGAGTTGAAGGCCACACTCTGAGGCCACCAAAAAATTTGTCCTGAGAACCCCTTTTAGTCTGGCCTGACCCACAATGGCCCCTTGTGGCCTTGGAATCTATGAATCACTGGTCATTTAAGCTGGCTTTAAGGTTGATTTGTGCCATTGTGGAGGGCAGAAAGTATCTTTAACAGACCAGAATATCTGGCCTACTATCTCTGCAATGTAACACAGACATTTACAATACATTAGGCCAGTAGGTTACACAATGTTTGTATAGCAGCTATGGGAACTTCCACATGCAACACTATGCACATAAGGACTTACCTGTCATTCCTTAATTGCAAGAGATACATACTGAGGAATAATAATTAAAAACAAAATTAAATATAACATGAAGATTGGAAGATTTGCACAAAGTTTATTCCCTAGTTCATAGCATGCTCCAGGTGCATACAAACTTCCATGCAACTCAAATAGAATTTTCTATATGCTTGTTTTCTTCAGTATAAAAGTAAGATGATGAATGTGAACCTACCTACATTTTAGTTCTACATTGCTCCATGAATAGAGCATCTGTTAAAGGCTCAAACTCGAAATGTGCTGAGTGCTGCTTCTGAGGGGCTGAACACTCTAAACAGTTATTGATTTACAGTTTTCGTCTTATTTTCAGTTTGGACCTGATTTCTGAGCAGGGCTGCCCTTTTAATGATAGACTCAAAGAGATGCTTCTTTAATCCATGGGCCCCAGAAAAGAAATCATCAGAACTAACTTTTAGCTAGAAAAAGTAGTTTGTTTCCCACCCATTGTTTAAGTAATTGTGGGTGAAAGAAAAGCACTATGAAAAGTATATGGGATATACTTTGTTTTTGTATTTAAAGAAAATCTTTTAAAGAACCTTTTGCAAAATCAAAGCTCCCACCAACCTGCAGTAAAAAGGCAGAGTTGACAAATATTTGGCGGTAGTGTGCTATGGTTTATCAGTAAGGCCTTGTCTACACTTGGAATTTTCCCCCATTCCAGCCACTAACATGTCGGCAGAAGTACAAAATGTAAGACAAAAAAAGCTGTGATTTTCATTGGTGGAGCTGAAATCATGTTAAGCTTTACCAGTGCAAACTTCAGCTTACTTGTCTATGTGTGTGGGTTGCACTGATGCAGCTACACTGATGGCCAGAACAGGGACAGATTGTCAATGTAGGGAAGGCGTAAGTTGCAGGAAGAGACATGATCGCTACCGAAAAGCAGCACAGGGCAGAAAATTTCCAAAGGCCTGAAGTGTAGCTGGATCTGATTTCATGCAAGAACAGAAAAGTATGCTGGAGCTACAAAAGCTTGTATCTAAAAACAAAACCCAGACAGGCTTGTATAGATGTGTGTACAATGATACATACATGTGTGCACGGAAATGGGCTGAGGTTAATATTCATTTTAAAAACTCTAATGCTGCATTTGAAGCACTTTGCAATAATGAAGCAATTTAATGCTATAGGATGTGCATTCCTTGCCTGTCGATACACACCCCAGGCATAGTATTTTCTACCACTCAGAAAGCATGGGAATGTATAGCTGAATATTGTTTACTGCTAATTTAATATGGCTCCATATGTTAAAAACAGTTTGCGGTCTTATTACACAACACCATTCTAATACAAAACTATGTAATAGTTTAGAAAGATGTTGAAAAAGTGTAGAGGAGAAAATGAGGATTTTACTTTGTTACTTTTATCTAATTTTATTAGTTCCCTACACCCATCAA